AGGAAAAAAATTTGAGTGAAGTATGAAGCATTAAATGCAAACTATTATTAAATGTTATATTTAATTATATGAAATTTATTATTTATATTAATTTTATTAAATGAATAAATGTTTTGAGCTCTTTAATATTTTGACATTCTTTTTGTTTAGTATTAGTTTTTATATTTGTTTCAAAGACCAATTTGCTAATTTCAAATGTTTTTTAAAAGGGTATAAAATATTTAACCTTTTTTTATCAAACAAGTTATTAGTTTTCCATTTAAAACAGATATATAAAAATTTCCAATATATAGAAAGCGGGCTATCTGTTTTCTTTAGGGGTATAAATTGGGTGTCTGGGAATTAATGCTGAAGTTTTAATGCTAAGTTATGGAGTAAAAATGATAGAAATATCAGGAAAAAATAAACAAAATTTCAAAATAAGAAAAAATCAGGGAAAATCGGGGAATTTTGTTCCAGAATTACAGTGGCAACCCTGTATATACATATAGTGTATTTCTATAAATTTCACTTTCAAAATGTGACCATAATTTAGCTAATCATTTATAGTGATGCAAATAATTATCTATTGAAAAAAACCAATAAATGAAAATCAATGAATAATTTTTTATGTATGAATCATACACTCTTGAAATCTGAATTTTAACATTCAAGATAAAATAACAGTGTAACATTTCACTTGTTCAGTCATACCCACCCAGTCCCAGGCCTCCCTAAGAAATGTGTGACTATTAGACTAACACATTTCTTGGCTAGTTGTTTTAATAAAATGCACCAAAAGTGCCACACCTCTGAGTGATATAGCATTTATTCTAAAAGTTACAGATTTATGTGGTCCTGATCTATCTGAAAACTTAAATTGGCTTCACACCAACTTGCATCATATTTTGCAGAAACTTTATGCAAATCCTCCTCTTGGGGTCTCGATTTATAACTGGCCCAGGCCTCTCAAAACCTCTGAAAGGACCTGTTTTCAACTCTTTACTACCAGTAAACTAAATTAATCTGCAAAATGCAGTAGTGGTGTAGTGGTAGAGCGCTCGCTTCATAATCGAGAGGTTTCGAGTTCAATCCCCACCACGTCCCTGGTAGTACCATGCTCAACTCATTTCTCTGCGCAGCGGCCTTGTTCGTCAAGGTTCGTGTTTCGGAGTTATAGAGTTAAGAGAGGGTTATATAACCACAAATAAGTAGCCTCCTCATCTGTAGTGGCCTTCTCAGCCTTGAGGAGGTAAATTAACAAAAAAAAAAAAAAAAAAAAAAAAGATAAAATCTATTGTTTTTAAAGTATTAAATTTTTAATTATGTACAAAAATAAATATACGACATCCTGTGTAATTTCAAAATATTTAATGGTTCTTTAATTAATAACCTATTGCTTTTTTTGGTAGGAGTGTGATGCTTCACGGCTGTTTCAGAGTGGACATACGGCTTCTTGTTATTTTTTGAAAATAATTACTTAGAGGGTGTTACTAAAACTTTCATAACTTTTGAAATATTAAAGATAAATATGTTCTGTAAAAAGAATACGAACACCGACTAAATGTTTTATATTTTATCATTCAATATAATAATCTAATATTTTATCATTCAAACTAATCTACTCTGATTTTTAAATAAATGCGCAAAATGACGAACTTGGCAGAATTTCGAAATTTTAATAGTACTTTTTAGCAAAAATAATCAGAAAAATTATATTTCTGTTAACTAATATGTAATATAAACATAGTTAGACCAATTATGAAACATATTAACATTATTTACACCGCATGCGAACTGATACAGGCATTACAATAGGCAAAATTGCAAAACATATTTTTTTTTTTTACACTTTTTTTTTTTAAAGATTTAGAACAAACAAAAAGAGTTTTGAATTATTTTTGCTTTCAGTCGTAGAATAATTTCCTGACACTTAGATCAATATTACATATTAATACTTTTCTGTAGAAAAATAACACATTTTTTATAAATATACATAACAATATAGGCAATTTAAATAATTTGAATAATTTTGGTGGATTGACATAAATAATTTTTTTTTAGTTAATATATTTATATATACTAGCTGGGGTGACCCGTAAAATACGGGTCTTTACCGAACCGACCATTTTTATACTTATCTATAGCTATCCGGACGTAAACTAAGGGTCTTAGTAAATCTATTCTACACCGACCTTTTCTATACTTATTCCTTACCTCAATATTTTTTTAAAACCGTTTAAAAATGTACATATAAAAAACTATACTCACTTTTTGATATGACAAAAACATTTCTGTTAAAATGTTCTTTTAAAAACTTCAAACGATTTTAATATTATGCCGATTATAAAAATTTTAATAAGAAAAAACGTAAAAAAGACTACGAACTTAGAAAAATGCTAAAACATTCAACACGTGACGCCGTTAAAGTACGCCTTAGTTAACGTTCATAACATATACACATCTAATTAGATTTTATTTAAACTCAGTTGTTGCAAACTTGGTTTTGAATTTTTAATTACACTTCTTATGCGTCATAAATAATCTTAAATTTAAATAGAAAATACGTTTATGGGCTAATTGGTAGACGCGCAACACTTAGACATTTATAGTCATCTTACCCCGGGAGTTCATACTCCAGTGACTTTTTTTTTTCATCCCAACTTACAACAAAAGTAATTAAAAATAAATGTTATCATTGAAACAGTTTTAAACATTTCTTCCTATTTATCTTTGAACTTAACTTTATTCACTGCAAACATACTTTTGGTGTTTGTAAGCGTTATTTTACGTTTAGTATTTGTAGGAATTATTTGCACGCACGTATTTTAAACAATTATTTTTACTGTTTCATCTAAAAATCTTATTTAATTTAGTTTAATAATTTCTTAAATATAATATATATAATATAATTTAAAATATTTTATTAACCCTATTTAAATAAGTATCAAAACTCTTTCCTTTAATTTAAAAAGAATTTAAAATTAACGTAGGCTATAACGATATTTTACCCTTTCATCAACATTTATTTAAAAAGTAAATTTGGATATAGAAAAACGGGTTAAAGACTTATTATTTTAAATAAGTTAGCTTTATCTATTTAATGCTTTTCGTAAAAGCGTTTCTTTAAAGACTCTTAACAAATCATTCAAGCTGTTTTTACTGCCTAAGTTATTAAACCTGTTGTGTGTGCCAAAAATCGATACTTAATGCAAATGGAAACTTCGAGTGCTAATGGTGATTAAAGCATAAATGGTTCCTATTCATATATAATAAAAGGAAATATGAAAGACAAAGCAAAAATGATTTTTATATCCATTTAAACCAATAAATCCCAAAATAAAAAAATATAGATATTTACTTAAAAACATATTTTTCTTGATATAAAATAAAAATATAACCTTTAGTACAAATTACAAAAAAAAAATTTATTCAACAGAGCTACTTATAATACAATTTAAATTGAATCATTGTTTCATAAATATTAAGCTTTAGGTAAGCCATAATCAAGTCAGCTATAAGAAACGGAACTAAAAATGGAACAAAGTTATTTAAACGCATAATCATAATCATACACATTAATTACAAATTAACATGTCATGCAATCAATACTTTTGAAAACTCAAAAATGCGAATAAGAAACTTACTTTTTTATTTTTACATAACCCTGACAGACCAACATGAATGTGAGCTAAATCTATTTGCATAAAACATCACAACAATTAATTAAATAGCAGAACCACCTCCAAAGGACAAAAAAATTAGTTTTTTAAGGAAAATTAGAGTTATTAGGAGGGGAGGTATTAATAAATAAAAAAGCTCAACTTGAATTTAAAAATTAGTTCATAGTTTTGTTGAGGGTTATTGAGTTATTCTGAGTTTATTATACATATTTTAAACTACTGACACCACACAGTTATATTCTTAGTTCTGGAAGGTGCTAGATAGAATTTGATTGTGTGAAAACCAAATCCCTTTGAGATTAACATTAACTTTATCAAATGTATGACCGTGACTTTTATTTCTAGTTAATGAGCATTGTTGATAAAGGTGTCTTTATTTAAATGATTTACTTTGATAACATTTAACATTCATGGGAAAAATAAAAAACAACACAAAAATAAATTTACAAAAATATATTACAAAAAAAAAAATGAAGTGGCTCAAAAGTTGTCAATTTCGTTACATTTTAATATGTAAAAAAATTATTGACAACTTTTGCGCCACGTTGTCTTCTCCTCCCAGCATCCGCTCTATTCCCCGTGTTGTATGGGGTGCCATCCCTCCATCTAAAGGAGGGATGGTCGTCCCCATACAAACACCAGCGATGGAAGGCCCTCATAGATAGAGGGCCTGGATGCTGGGAGCGATACTTTCTGAATTCTTCCCATGACTTCGAGCCTGAAAAAAAAATTATATATAAATACAACTATGTACCAAGGTAATACTTACAAAAAATCTACTGTAAAAAAACAATAAAAGCAAATAATGTAATAAATTAAGTACAAGTGAGCACAACAACTTATTTATTTTACTCACTAATACTTGACTTATTACATTAACTAATTAAACTGGAAAGCACATTTGTAGCTATATTAAAAAACAAAAGGTACAATAAAAGCAATCAATCAATGTAATAAGTCAAGTAAAGGTGAATATAACAACTTACTTGTAACAGAAGAAGCAGCAGCTAGAGATAAATAAAAGAAAATTAAAAATGCAATAAAACCAATTAATCCATAAATTAAGTCAAGTATAAGTGAATAGAACAACTTACTTGTAACAGAAGAAGCAGCAGCTAGAGATAAATAAAAGAAAGTTAAAAATGCAATAAAACCAATTAATCCAATTTAAGTCAAGTATAAGTGAATAGAACAACTTACTTGTAACAGAAGAAGCAGCAGCTAGAGATAAATAAAAGAAAATTAAAAATGCAATAAAACCAATTAATCCATAAATTAAGTCAAGTATAAGTGAATAGAACAACTTACTTGTAACAGAAGAAGCAGCAGCTAGAGATAAATAAAAGAAAATTAAAAATGCAATAAAACCAATTAATCCATAAATTAAGTCAAGTATAAGTGAGTACAACAACATACGTTACTGAGGAAGTTGGATTTGTCACTATATAAGTGATTACATTATATTATTTATTAAAACTTTTATGAGACATAAAACATAATATAGTTACTTACAAATGTAGTTTAAAATGATATCTAAAAAAATTGACCAAAAAGTACAAAGTCCAAAACTAATCTCAAATTGAAAAAACGCATTTAATATTAGATGTACATAAATAATTAGGGTGTATAATAAACATAAAAGCAATTTTACTCACCTATGGACTTTTGTAAATCTTCTAATTTTTCTAAATAGATGAACAAATTACTAAAGCCAACCTCATTATTTTTTATTTAATATACATAAAAGTAATATAATGAAATTTTGCTTACTAACTCTACTTTCTAAATTTTCTAAATAAACAAAATGTATGAAAGATTAGTTCATAAATTTATTTACTGTAACATAAACTTCGAAAAAACTGAAGTAAAAAAAAAAAAATAGAAAATGCTAACTTTGATTATCTAAGAATTCTTTCAAATAAGGCAGAAAAGACTCTGTCTCTTCTGCCACTATCTCCTGCGCATCTAAGATATACACACAATACAATATATACATTTAGCATATCATATGATAAAGCACTATATCTAGTCTAGAAAATATAATAATCACAACATCTGGTCTAGAAAATAAATTCCAAGTTTCTAGTTGAAAAACACATAAAGATTTTTTTCTTATTTCAAGATTTGAATTTTACATATAATAATGAAATTTCACTATTAAATAGCTGCGTGTATATAGCTATATAACTATTACCAACAATCAAATTACTATTAGTATACAAATATTTGATAAAAAATATGCTACTGATTTCTCCATACTTGAAATAAATTTTTTATAACTATCACTTTATATAAATAAAAATTGTTTACTTCTAAAGAAATTATAGTTTACTTACTTCTAAAAAAGTCACCATCATCGTCTAAAAAGTGAATTACTTGATATTTTTATTTATTTCCAATAAATAAAATATGATAGCAGTGCTTATTTTGTCTATCAGTTAACCCAACACTGTTTATAAGAGTGTAAATTGTTTGTCTATTTATATTTATATATTTATATATGCGTACTAAATAAAGTATAGCGTTTGTGCTGTATACGCATATATTAGATATATATAGATATATAGATATAATATCTAATACAAGCGCATATAGCACTAACACACATATGCAATAAATACATACCGTTTAAATTTTCTTGTGTGTTCATTTCTAAAATAAAAAGTAAATATTTATTCTCAATTCTTACACATATTCTTAAGTCTAATTTAACTTAAAATCATAAAAACTTAATTTGAAGATTTTAGATATTCAAAACAGTAACTCACTCAGATTCTAAAACTATAAGAGAGCTATAATGAGCGCGTGGCTGTCTTTTGAGTTGTTTAAGCATCCAGTTGGCTTGCAAAATGTAATCTTTAATCGCTTATATTTCTTTAGATTTTAAAATACGCTGTTCGAAAATCGGATTTGGAGTATTTATAATTAAGAGAATTATGTAATTTATGCAAACAAAAAGAAGGGGAAATTCAAGGGTTGCAAGACGTCCGGCTTTTATGAAGAAGAAAGCAGTAAAAGAACTGAACTGTATATGTTTGGGACTATATTCTACTCTGTAAAAGCCGGTCATTTGGCAAACCTAAGTAAAAATGATGTTACACATTACAAAGAGACAATATAGTGAAAGCAATATCAGCATTTCCATGTATATCAGGAAATTGGAATCCTGTGTTTAAGCGAGTCATTGTGCGATAGTTCTTTTCAAGTTGTTTTTGCTGCTTTTTGAAACTTAAATTACAATTATAAAATAAAATGAAAAAAAGACATCGAATATAAATACTGGAAAGTTTTCATACTGTTTTAATAGACCAATAGAATAATTTATCGATGAAAACAAAGTTTCTTAGACCCGCAGTACTCCTACAACACCACACTAAAACAGTTTCTCTACCACACATAACATTTTCTACTATTCCTAACATAGTTGTTATTGGTGACTAAAATTAGAAGAGCATAAGATTTTTTTTTTACTTAACAAAATAAGAGTTATAGATTTTTCTATAACTCTAACTAAAATGCTACAAAAGAACTTGGTTTCCTGTAAAACGTTTTTCGAAAATAAATAGAAAAAGCTTTGTTTTTTATTGTGGTGTTAAATTGAATGAAACAATAATTGTTTATGGATTAAGTAATAAAGGTCCGGTAACTTTATTTATCTAAGACAATTCGTAATTTATTTTTCTGCCATACACTAAAAAATATCGAAGTAAATGGTTGGTGTGAATTAAGTTTTTATGATGCCTAAGTATGCGCAATTTTTCCACATACTTTTGGTTTATTAGAATCGTATATTTATATCATATGCCAATATTTTGATGATTCGAAACAAAAACTTTGAATTGAAGATTTTTAAGGTATTTTAAAGAAATAACGCCATCTAACGTAGTGATGAGCAGATTCGAAAATTACGTGGACCTAACAAAAGTGTATTTAACATAGTTACCAATTACGTGACATTTCTCCCAGTGTTTTGGCAAACTTTTTTATAAAATTTAACCTTTCCTATTTAAAAAGGAGAAGTATTTGACAAAGAATCAGGTGACGAATCCTAATTATGTCAAAAATTAGCTCTATTTGTTTGAAAAGCAAATTTTCTACAATAAACTCGCAACAAATTTTTCTAAATGTTTATAAATTAGCAAATTATTAAACTACTATAGCTATTATTTGTACCGAAAATTTGTAAAATACTTAATGGGAATGGAACTATCTAGATCTGTAATTACCATGGTAATAAAAGTATTAACGGTTTCCATTCATATATAACGGAGATATATATAAAAAAAGCAAAATGAGCAATGTATCCATCAAATACTATAATTCCAAAGAGAAAAAATTTACAAATTTGTGTGAGAAACAAAAAACATTTTTCTTGAGATAAAATTAAAAAAATAATTTTTTTTTTTTAAATTTTACAATATCTATTATATATAACATAAAAAGTATCAGAAGTACTTTATAAAATCAATTTGATTTGTTTCCCTATAATATATCTTTTAGTAAATGGTATAAAGATTAACAAAACTTCCCTTTGGATGTTAAAAAACGATCAACATTAAGAGAAGGCATTCGAACTAAAATAAAACAAAATTATTGAAAACATAACACATTAATGTACTCTTTTATTTAAAAACTCAAAAGTGTGACCAAGGCGATATCAAATAAGAAACTTACTTTGAGATTGTTTTTTTTGTGTGAATAGGTTTTGTGTAAAGGTTTCAAGATTTTTTGTTGCAAGTTTCGATTATAAACTCTTTTCAAAAAAAGCACACTAAAAATAATCAAAAAAAGATAAACCCTTACAGTTTAATATAAAAATTGAATGCTTGGCTTTTAGTGAATGATTATATATAGTCAGTTTCAGTATGAAACAACCCTATAATCATTTTTAACGATAGACACCGACGTGAAGGTAAGCCAAGTCGTCTATCAACACAAAACATCACAACAGTAACATCACAAACATCAATAACAAATAGCACAAAATCTTACAGTAAAGACTCAATAACTTAAACCACCAAAGGATCCAGCAATTAGCTTATTAGAAAATATTTCAGTTAGTGGTAGTATGATCCATAAACAATCGCTCAACTGGAATTTTAAAATTAGTTTGATTTATTCAAGTTGATTTATTGAGTTATCCAGACTTTATTGTAAATACTTTATTTACTAACAGCATAACATACTTGCAAGTACACATTTTGTGATTACAAACAGATTTTATTATGTGTTTCATGTCAGTACGCCGCTTGGCTAGCAAGGACAACACTCTTGCCATAAACAAAGCCAAGTCACATTATTCAAAGTACACCGCTTGGCTAGCAAGGACAACACTCTTGCCATAAACAAAGCCAAGTCACACCACTTTGAAACCATGAAAACAACATAATAACAACTCACAAACTATAAACAGATAACATAACAAAAAATACACTTCATATGTAACAGCCATTTACACATTAATTACACATAAATACTTACAAAATATAACATACTTATAAGTACACATTTTGTGATTACAAACAGATTTTATTATGTGTTTCATGTCTGTACATCACTTGGCTAGCAAGGACAACACTCTTGCCATAAACAAAGCCAAGTCACATTATTCAAAGTACACCGCTTGGCTAGCAAGGACAACACTCTTGCCATAAACAAAGCCAAGTCACACCACTTTGAAACCATGAAAACAACATAATAACAACTCACAAACTATAAACAGATAACATAAAAAATACACTTCACATATAACAGTCATTTACACATTAGTTACACATAAACACTTACAAAATATAACCTTAACACATATTTAAACACATAATAAATATCACACATTACTGCATCAAGCAACACACAAAAATACTTTAAATTACAGTTAAAATATTTATAAGAAATGAGGAGTTTAATTGTAAAAAATTAATTATTTATAGATTTAGTACATTGGTAAATACAACATTGTTTGTGTAGCATTTGTTAAATGACATACCTTGTAATGAATGCTCATCAATTTTAAAAAATAAGGTATTAAACGATCTTGTTCTTGAACATGCAACATAGAGTTGACCATGTGAAAAGCAAGGGTTTTTGAGATAAATACCAACTTTGTCAAAAGTTTGACCTTGACTTTTATTTATGGTCATTGAGTATGCTAATCTTACAGGAAATTCACGACGCTTAAGAGTAAAAGGTAAATTTGAATCAGATTGTGTTAACTGAACCCGAGGGACAAATACCCTCTTGCCAACTGAAACACCTGTTAGAACTTGCCCATCAATGTAATTATTTTGTAGAGCACGCACTATCAATCGGGTACCATTGCAAAGTCCAGCTTTTAGATCTAAATTTCGAAGTAACATTATAACAGCACCAATTTTTAGCTTTAGGCAATGAACAGGCATTCCTGATGGAGTAAGACTGTTTAAAAACTCAACAGGAAAATTATTGATTTCGTTAAGATCATCTGTTTCAATAGTATCAGCACTTAAATAAACCTTAACGTCACCTGGTAAACGGTCCAAAACTTCTTCATTTATTGCTAAAGAATCAACATTATTGGGTGTCAAAATGGCACGTTTAGCATAATCATCTTCTTCTGCAACTCCAAAAATCTTGTCTACTAAAGATTCATTTTCTCCAAGCAAGCATTGCTCAGGAATCTCAATGCACCCGCGAAAGGAACCATCTGCTTTTAAAGGTAATGTTCCACTACCAAGTTTTAAAAGCCATTGAGAGAATTCCTCTTCTTCGGCCTGAACCCTCATATTTTCTGTTAATGAAAATCGCTGAACATATTGCCAATGTTGAGAACATTTTATACAGGCTTCAACAATATCAGCTGGTTGCCCTCTCTTTACAACCGGAAGTATTTGCCTAAAATCCCCACCCATAAGAATAACTTTACCACCGAAAGGAAACTTGTTATTGCAAACGTCTTGAAGTAACTTATCAATGGCATTTAAAGCATGTTTAGGTATCATGGATGCCTCATCTAGTAAATAAAGGCTAACTTGCCTCAAGAATTTTCCGTGTATAGAATTTGGAGTTACATTGCATGTGCTATTTTCCAAAATCGGCACAGGAAGTTTGAACAAACCATGAAGTGTACATCCTTTTTTTAAAAGAGTTGCAGCTATTCCTGTCCATGCAGCTGTTGCAGTTATAATATGTCTACTGCTGGTTTCAGCGATTAAATAATTGTATGTAAATGTTTTACCACAACCTGCAGGGCCATCCATAAAAAACAATCTAGACTGCTTGTTTTCATTGTTAGGTTGCTCACTAAGAGCAGAAAGGATAGCATCAGCAATTTGACGCTGATTATCATTTAACAATGGTCTAACCCTATTTGCTTCATCAATTAAAACCTGAACATCTTCCTCTTCATTTTGTGGGACATAATCTAAAAACTCATCTAAAGTAGGAAGATTAACATCAGCTAAAGTCTTACCATTCTGATTAATTATAGATTCAATTTGACGCAAAGCTGCCTGCTCAGCAATTATTGGTGGCATGGAATGGTGAATGTAATCCTCCATCATAAAATCTTTAAAGGCATTCCAAAGATTTAATGGATCATCAGGTTCACAGAAAGTCAAAATAATGGAAAACAACTGTCTAATTTGATTTGGCAACCGAGTTGCAGCAGCCTCAGTTAATGTATTTCTCCATTCAGCGTCGTCTTGTAACAGACCTAATTGAGAACATGCTTCTCGGAATGTATTAAAAACTGTACCATTAACAGTACGCAAATCTTCAAAAAAACTGCACCTCTAACATGCAAAAGTAACATTCTAAGATAAAATATTTCACCTATTGGACTCACTTTATACATCCTAACAATCACCTTATTGCTACCTCTTTGCTTAACTTTCCATTTACAATGTTTGCTATCAAAAACAAAGTGGTAAGGAATTTCAACATATGGATAGTGTCGAGCTTGTTCATTTTCAACATTTAATTTAAACCATGCAGTTAGGTGAGTGTCACGCTGTGCTGCACGGTCTAAAGCTGCCTGTTCTTCGCCTTCTACAAAATATATCATCTGATTATCTGGCAGATGAACCTGAAGTCGAATGATGTTATGTGACATATCACTTAAAGAATACTCAAATATTCGCCACAATGCTTCTGGAGCTGAGACATAGCGACAATTTAAAAACGTGTTTATTTCATCATGGTTAACTTGCTCATTTATCACCACATTGGCACAGTCATGCCCTTTGTAAATGTACTTATATAAATACTTAACTGACTTTATGGTCATGCAGGCTTCAACATTTATGTGTGCTTGATATTTTTTAGAAAGCCATGGGTTATAAGGTACAACCCAACGGTTGTCAACTTGATTACCTTTTATATTTACAATTCTTCCATTATCGACGCGCCTATAGCGTGGATAACCATTAAAAATTGCAACAGTGTGGGGATTAAATTCCTTAGGAAATTTTTTTGTGCATTTACCATCTTTCATGCAGGGAGAATTGGGATTTAAAATTCCACATGGTCCATGTATCATGCATGATGTT